TAAAGCTATTAAAGTAAACAGGTTCATGTACAAGGATGCTTCAAAAGTGAATGTGTTGAACTTCTTCTCCAATATACTAGCCAAACTAGAAGCCACCAATAACACCTTTAACTTATTGGTCACTGAAGCCAATATCCTCATCTCAAATAAATAAGAAGCAAAGCTTGACAATCATAGCCTTGCGATTGTGAAGTTCGTGGCCTTTTGATTTGTGTGTGGGGCATTGATTTCTTCTTGGATGTTTACTGAAATGGGACCAACTTTTTAATGTTGGTGGTGTGGGAATCGATGAGGATTGAGAATTGTTGAAAGAGCTTGTACATGAGAATGGCTGATGAAATGAGAACCATCGTGAAGGGAGAAGGCACGGTGACTTTCACAACACTAGAAACTATAATGTTGGTGAAGTTGGTGGAGTGGAAAGTGATGAGGATTGAGTCTCTTGTGCCTTAATGGATGAGGGGTGATGATGTGGACAAATGAATTGGGCATTTTGTAGCCAAAGCATTTTTGTTAAATGTCAACTAACATGTATTTAATGAGAGGTGTTAGGCACTCCTTTTTAAAGTATGATTTATTTTGTATAACCTCATAGTATTGGATATCATATGCTCCTCAAGAAATAGTTCATAGCTAAATTTACACTATTGTCCTATAATCAATACATCCTATATTGGGTGAAGCAAAAAATTAATCATCTATCCTTAATGTTATGTTCAGATAGAGATAGGAGGAAAGAAAAACTAAAAAAGAAAGCAAAGGGAAAACAAATTCTCCTCTATTTATATGAGGAAATGAAAGTGAAAGGAAAATAAAATAAGGAGAAAATGGGGTGCAACCCAAATTTTCTCTTCACATGTGGAGATATTTTTATAAAAATGTTTTATTCCATACTTTGCTCACCCGCTCTCTACTTCAAGGTATTTAAAATTGAACTAGTCATTGAAATAATAAAAATATTTATTCAAGAATTAATATTCAAAATTGTAGTCAAACTATGATCAAACTAATCATAAACAAAGCTTTTTTATTAAATTGGTCAAAACATTGGTTTAACGATTTATCAATTCAGCTAGGAAAGTTGACTTAGACTTCTATACAATGCTATGCTCTATCCTACTTTTACCATTGTCTTTTTATGCCTTCTCAATTAGGACCATAATTTTTGGGTCTTCTAGACCTCTAGGACTATTGTCTTTACTTTTATATAAAGAACCTCCCTTTGTATGGCCTATCTTCACCATCATCTTTGCTTAGGTTTGAATGAGAGAACCTTTATCTAATCAATTTTTTTAAAAAAGATCAATAATAACATTAATAAACAATAGTTTACAATACATAAATAGTAAAAAAGTCTAAAGGACAATGAGGCAAGAAAAGAGCAAGATCATTTGAAATATTAAACTCATCGTGCCAAATGGAGTTACAAGCTTGTAGATGTCTTGTACTAAAGGTTGGAGCATATAATATTCTAATGATAATCCATCAAAAAGCTTCTTATGGAAACATTGGTGAGGAAGATGTAACTCTGTAGAGGGGATGTGTAATGCCCTTTACTTTAACCACATAATTATCCACATATTTAACCACCAATTAGACACTCTAGGTTATTAAAACACAAGTAACCAATAACAAAAGTTACCATGGAAGAAAGGATAAACCATATTTAACTAAAATAAGGAAAGTGGCTAAGTATGAAATTCTTTAGAAATTAGGATTTCAAATGTGTAAAATCTATCTAAAAGGAAGGTGAATTGGGCTAATTAAAATTTAAAGTAATTTAACCAGTTATAAAGATAGGTAAAGAACGATATTACCAAACAGCGCTAAGTGAAGAAAAGTTTTGCATAAAGAGTTTTTCCTGATTTAGCTCTAACTACTTGAACCCACGTTTAGTGCCTAAGGCACCCTTGAGATTTCTCATTATATCCACCAAGATTAAATTAGACTCTTGGCTGCCTTAATATGACACAAACTTCTTACTAAGTTTGAAACTCTCCCCTTTATAAAGGTGGTTGTAAACTTGTAAATACTCTTAAACTTCCTGAGCTTAAGTTACTCTGTTTCAAGTATGAAATACAGAGATGAATAGAGTGAGTTGAATAATGAACCATTACTATAGTAAAAATTCTCTCTTAGAGTGAATACACAATCAATGAAGCTCCCAAAATCATGAATGTCTCAACAAAAGATTGTTAGAAAATGAATGCATGTAGTTGGCTAAGTAACTTCTCATATTACTTCCGCTTCATAAATAAGTCGTATTTATAGCTGATCCTTAAAATAAATTTGTTAGACTCATCAATTAGCTGTTAGAGTCTTTGTCTTTGTTTCTCTATGTTTTGCACATTTTGAGATAATAAAACAATGCTTTCCGGTAGGTTAGCATATTCTTGGTGCCTTGAGGAAATAATAATGACTCTATACATTAAATGCTCTAACAAAAAGTAAAAAAGATTTATCAAAGAGCAGTCGCATATTGTGAAAGAAACATTACATATGTATCCAAATGTGTCCTTGAGAGATTTTAACAAGGAATATTTGAATATATAAAAGTGATATTAGAATACATGGAAAAAAAAAACATCAAATGTGCTTTAAAAGTGCTTCAAGCTTCTAGGCTCAATAAATTGCCACCGAAAGACCTTGTTTAACATATTGGCATTGAAGGATTTTGTATTAAATATTGACTGTAAATGATTTCATGACATATTAACAACGAAAGAATTTGTGTAACATATTGACAATAAAAAATCTTGTGCAACTTTCATTTTTTTAATCATAAAGGCAAGCTGATTATTTGGAAATTCAAATTAATGCTAGCAAAGGACTTAATGTCCCAAATCCTTGTGAGCAAACTCAAATTTGGTAGAGTCGTTTTTTACAATTTTTCCTAAAAAATACTTATTTAAAGGATAGAAACTCTTATTACTCACATTAACTTGAGATTATTTTAATTATAATCACTTCACCTATAATTTGACTAGCAAATTGGTCGTATTTTAGCTAGAGCATGGCTGATTCACGTTTTGGTAATATTTAACTAATTTCTTAACTAATTTTTTAATTTAATAAAATACTCCTTCTATTCTATTTATAGAAGAAACTATCAATTTTAATTTTTTTATATAAACAAAATCAAATTTTTCAATAAATATTTATAATCAATTTTTTAAATTATTTCTTATAATTTTATCATTTATAATTATAAAAAATAATTAATAAAAAATTAATTAATATAATTAATAAAAATTTTATACTCTAAATTTTTTATTTTTAAATATAAATAATATAGTTAATTAATTTTTTTTAAACTGTATGTTATTATTTTTTTCTCCTGCAAATAGATAAGGAGAGAGCATAGCTGGAAATCAATCACATGGGTTGTACTCCCGAGGCAAACCATCGTGTAGCTCAAGAGCTCTGGAATGGCTGGTGAGGCAGGGTCATTTCCTCATTTTGTTACTTCACCAAACTTCTACTCGTCCGATGGATTAAATGCCACACATAATTAGTATTGGCATTTATTCAGGAAAAAAATAATTAGCATGACATATGCAAACATGTTATGGGTGACGTCAGTCAAATCCATCAATTCATTCAACTTTAATATAAAATATGCTCCACGGAATGAGTAAAGTATTTTCACTCTCAATAAAATAATTATTTATTTTTAAATTTATTTTATTTTTATATATTTATTTTATTAAATATTTTATAATAAACATAAAATTATTTATTAATATTAGTATTTTTTTAAAAAAAATAATCATTACACTTTAAAAGATTAATAATATTTTATATTTTTTAATATTAAATTCTTCAAAAAAATAATTTATATTTTTAAATAAAAAAAGTAAAATATAAAAAAATGATAGTGAAACCTTTAGACTAAAATCCATGACATTTTAATATCGTAAGATTTTAAACTTTTTCTTTTATTGAGATAAAAAATTAATTGATAAAAATATCCTCATTTACATATAAGTTAAAAATTTGCGGAGTTAGATTAGAAAATCCAAATGCTAAATTGAAATATTTTTTGTTACATAAAAAAGAAGACTGTTAATAAAGTTTTAAAATAATATATTTATGACAATTAAGTCCTAATAAATTTTTTTAAAAAAATTAGTGATAAATATTGAATTAGATAATTATAATTTCAAAGGTTTTAACTGTAAATAAAATATTTAAATTTTTAAATATAACTTTCAATTTGTAGTTACAATTCCTGTTCTCAACTGTTTAAATTAATATTTATAGTTTATTTTTTTTAAAAATTGTCGGGGCACTTAATTGTCATAAATTTATAATTTTGGGACTGTATTGTCATTCTTTTACGTGAAAAAGATTTTTTTTTTTTTTTGTTCTTCTCCGTTGTGTTCTATGAGGTAGGGATTGAATTAAGCTGGTTCAAGCTAGGCTAGGTTTTGGTTTTGTAAGCCTGAAACTTGAACATGAGCTTATGGCCTTCATAAGGCAATTTTTTTTTATTATTATTATTGCAAGCGTGCCAAGGGGCTGTCGTTAAATAGTTGAAATGTTGAATCAACCTGGCTTCATGAACAAATGGAGAGTCCAGGGTATGTGCTTTAATTTCTCACAATTTTTTTCGATGCAAGTGCTCAAAAATAAAAAATAAAAAAATAAAAAATATCTTTATAAATAAATTCACAATCCGTCTAATATATTTAATTATTACATGAAATATTTAGCTCACTCATGTGCTAATTTATCACTCATAAAAAATAAAGTGTGTGATAAAAATAACCTTAATTTTAAATTAAACTTTTCTAAACATGCACGTTTTCTCTCTCTTGCCTCCATTATTTATCTTCCTTGAAAAAATCCTCCACGTACCAAATCCCTAGAGGATTAAATTTCCTCTTTAATAATGTTGATGTGAAATGCCTGGGCCTGTTAGGTCGGAAATTTATCTATTATTCATCTCCGGCCACTAAAAGGATTTATTTAAACCAGGCACCCTGTAGTGTCGTCTCCAATATCTTCCAAGATCCCCACAGCCACACTCACCCACCTCTCTCTCTCTCTCTCTCTCTCTCTCTCTCTCTCTCTCTCTATCTCTAAAGATTCACAGAAATCAACTCAGATTTCAGACTATACTCTTCCAACAACACAAAGATCATTTTCTGAGAAGAGGCAACAAACTGTTCCAGGTTCACAAATCTTCCACATCCACTCTCTGTTTTTTCTGTTATTTTTTGTTTTTTGTTTTTTTGGAAGAAATATAGAAACTTAGTTTTACTGAGGAAATACAGGAACTTTTTACTGGGTTTTACGTTATTTCTTCCTCTTGCATCTATGGTCTGTTTATTTTCTTGCTTTTGTTTATCTTTTTCTTCTTCTTTCATGATCCATATTTCTATTCTGTAGAGTTTACTATGGGACTGGAAACCCTTAAAATTACTGTGAGGGATTTCTCTGTAACTATTGTTAGCTCAGCTACTGCCAAAATGATATTAAGTTTTTATTTTTAATGGAAAAAATTAAATTGACTAATTAGTTAACTTAAAATATATGAAATAAAAAAGATTTTATCAAATAATTAAATAAAATAAGAGATTAATGTAAGTTGGATCTCTCAATAGCAAGATGCACGTCTGAGATTGAGAAAATTAAACACAATTAGAAGAAACATCTAGAAAGTGAAACAAAATTTTGATGAAATTTTACCAAATAAGGTATAATGGGGGAGAAAAAAAGTTAAGTCTAGACAAACAATATAATGTAAGATTTCTATTTTTTTAAAATTATAAAATATTTTTTAAATAAAATTTTATTAAATATATTTAAATAATTTTATTTTTTAAAATAAAAATATAAACTTTTAAAAATACTATTCATTTAATATATTAAAAAAATTAAATAATAAAATAATAAAATAAATATATTTAATAAAATTTTAATCTTTTTAAAATATTTTATATTTTAAATTACTATCTTATAATTTAAATGGAAAGTTGTATTAATTTTTTCCCCCTGTTTGTTAGCGAAGTAGGACCGCAGCCAGCTATACAGTGGTGGTGGATAATAATCTTCTTGTTGGTTTTTTTAGTTAATCATTTTGTTTCTGATCAGTTTGAAAACTCAAGTGCTGAACAGCTCCCACGTGTCTTTATTCTTCATCTTCTTCCTCCATTTCCCATCTTTCATCTTTATTATTCATTAATTATTGTTTTCTATTTGTTCTTTCTTCGTCTTTTCTTGCTATCTTCTATTCTCCTTTATCAGTTTTTCTTTTTTCTTTTTCTTTTTTAACTCTACTTCTGTCTTCTTGCTTTTAAGTTTCCCCCTCCTAAGTTTCCTTCATCTCCTGTATATCTTTTCCTTTTCTTCTTCACAGTCTTCTTTCTTTGTTTGTTTTATTTTTTTTCCTTTTTCCCCGGCAGAACCCGTGAACTGGCCGGTTTTCCTGATATATCCCAGTTCGTTACTGTTCACTGCATCCTGGCTCGACCGGCATAACTTTTATTGTCAACTAAAATCATTGATAAATTATCAATTATAAATATAACACTAAAGAAAACCAATAATAAGACAAATGAAAATATAAAATGACTTAACTTTGGGCTATTGAGATTTGAAAAAAAAAACTTGTTCTTGACTAGTTAGTTCTGATCGGTTTTCCAGCAACGTTCTGGCCAGATCTGATCGGTTCACTTTTTATCGGTTCTGAACAATAGTATCCTCGACTCCTCGGTTTCTTCTGGACCTGACTATAGGGCAGTTTCTAGACCGGCAGGTTCGGGTCTGGTTTTTAAATTGTTGATTCAAAATACAGAAAAGATCCTCCCCTCCTCCACCCCTCTCTCTATTTCATTCACGCTAACAAGGTGTTGTGTGAATTTCTGTTGTCATTTCCCTCACAGGTGAGGATGTCAACGACGTCTTGTGAATCATCAAGCCCCATTCATCAGATGTTTAGTCACATTATAAAAATAGATAACAAACCAGAGGATCTGAACACATCCGAGCGTTGCATCTACAGAGTCCCAGGTAGTCTTCGGGGCGTGAACGAGAAAGCCTATACTCCTCAGGTGATCTCGATTGGACCCCTTCACTTTGGCGATAAAAATCTAAATCCAATGCAACTCCGGAAACAACGATACTTTTGTGACTTCTGGGATCGTGTCAAAAATGAGGAAGCCATGAAGGCCTACAAAAAGTACCTTGAAGCTGAAGAAGAAGCTATACGCCATTGTTATGCAGACAAGTTTTCATCCTTCGTCACTGAGGAAAATTTCGTGGAAGTGATTCTTTTGGATTCTGTTTTTATCGTGGAGCTTTTTCTGATGATGAGAAAACCAGAAGTACATCACAAAGATGATATTATATTGAAACAAACATGGCTGAACAAAGGTATCCAGAGGGACTTGTTGTTGCTTGAAAACCAGATTCCATTGTTCATCTTGGATAGGTTGTATACAACCGTGGTTCCGGACTCTGATAAGCATGGCAAGTTTACTGAGCTGGCCTACGACTACTTCAAGTGTTTTCATCCTTATAAAAAAAGCAAATCGGATTACGATGAAGTTGAGAAACCAAATGGGAATCCTAAACTTTTTTCAAAGCCAAAAAGTTGCAATTCTTCAGTTCAGTTTCAGGAGGAGGGTTCGTACAGGTATGGCTTGGCAGAGAGGAACTGGGAAAGTGCGCCAAAGCATTTTACAGATCTGATGAGGTGCGTATTTTCACCTTTAAATGGAAGAGATAGATGTCATGATGAAAAAGAAATCAGAATCTCAATGTAATTGTAAAACACAAAAAGTTAACCCATTCTTGTAAAATATTTTTATGTGACTAGGTACTTCTATATCTATGACAATCTCACTCAGCGTGAAAAAGGGGTGCCTTCTAATGTTCTGAGAACTGCAACAAAGTTGCGAGAATCAGGAGTGAGCTTCGAGAAAATGTTGGACAAAAACTTGCTTGACATAAATTTTGTGAAAGAACCTATCTTGAGTTGGTTTCTGTGCTTGGGCTGTATACCAAAATTCACATGCTTCAAAGCTCGTTTACAAATCCCACAATTAAAAATAGACAACACAACGGAATGTGTCCTCAGAAACCTCATAGCCTTTGAGCAGTGTCACTATGCAGATGAACCTTACATGTGCAACTATGTTTCCTTCATTGACTCTCTGATTCATACCAAAGATGATGTTGAATTGCTGGTTGAGAAGGAAGTCATTGTCCATGAACTAGGAAGTGACAAGGAAGTAGCAACTTTGGTGAATAGTCTTTGCAAACACGTTGTGGCAGACCAGACATGCTATAAAGACATTATAAATGATTTGAATGGACATTACCAGAGGGTTTGGAATCGTACAATGGCTTCGTTGAGGTTGGTATATTTCAGAGACACTTGGAGAGCAAGTTCTACTTTGGTTGGAATTGCTGTTCTTGTATTCACAATCTTCAACTTTTGCCGAGTTGTCAGATTGGTCCTCGACCTCGATCAAAGGCGACCTTAATTAATTAGTTGTGATATAGCATAGCATCTTTTAATTGTAAGAAACTAAAATGACAGTGTCATGTGTTAAATAACGTGAGAGGGCCTTCATGGAGCCTTTTCCGTAGATTTCATGGATGAAGTTAGTTGTAGAAAACCTTTGGTTGTTTTGTTCGGAGTTTGGTGAATAATATGTGTAATCTTAGTAATATGTATTATTAGTGGATGTGTCTGATATAAATAAAGCCTACTTAATATCTTTGAAATTTCACTTAGACTCTAGTTATCAATGATTATGATGATAGTAGTATATATCGTCATGTATATATTGAAAAGTGACATTTGAAGACCTTGTAAGACCTATAATTAAACTTAAAAACCACACATTTTAAAAATCTTAATTAAAGAAGGATTAAAGTCGTTTGATTTTTTTTTTTTAGTACTACCTCACAAAAGATGACTCCTATATGTTAAAAAAATTTTGGAAATTGAGACAAACAATTACAGTTGATTTTGTTCCGCAAGAATTCATACAAAGGGTGACTACTGACAAAGCAAAGGAAGGTATGTTAGAAATTGTTGCCAATTTAGTTGGGGGGGAAAAAAATCAAAGATAGGTAAATTTTTTATTTTGGAAAAATTGGTCAAAAAGATAAATAGGTAAAAATATTTGGAAATCAGGACCAAAATTCAAAAAGTGCAAAATATCCTTCAAAAGAACTAAGCTCAGCTAAGAACATATCAAAATATATATCCCTTCCAATTTAAAATTGAATTGACATATCACAACATAGTAACTCTAATCCAAACAAAGGAGATCATATTGTAACATTTCATCCCTATTTTTTTAATATATAGTGGGATCCAATCAAATTATCCAATTGACACATCACCCTTACTTTTTTCATTTAAATATTAATTTTTTACAACATATCTTCAATGTTTCTGCAATGATCTTTCAACGTATCTTTAACAAAATTTTTTACATGCAACTTTAATTATCTTCCACCTCTCTTCAAAAATCTTCAATATATTTTTAAGAATTTCAATTTTCTTTAAGAGTTTTCATTAATCTTCAAAAAGTCCATAGCATATTTTCCAGAAAAATTTCTTGAAAATACGTTGAAGACTTGAAAAAATATGAAACATTTTCAGGAAAATATGAGATTTTTATTCAAATATTTTTTTAAATAAAAGGTTGATTTTAATTATATATTGAAAGGCATGACTGAAAATCAAGAACATTCATGATTTTGCAAAGATATATTCAAAAACTCATGTTACAAACCAAAATTAGCTATAGCCATCTTTTTATGCAAAGCAACTTGTAAGGAAAATATTAATTCTTTTTAAAATAATGTAACCTAAATTTAGGACCAGAAAGAATATATAATAGTCATATTCTAGAATAGTTTAGTGATCTTGTATGTGAGCCAATTTGCATAAGGAGGGGGAGCATATAAGAGTCCGTTTGGATTTGTCATTAGAATTGATTATCAATACTGAAATCACATTTTGATCAAAATTATCCAAACACTCCCATTTTTACACAATTGATTGTCTCACTTCAAACTGCATTTGGCCTTAAGCTGATATCCTTAGCTTTACAATATCAATTATCTCTGTTCAAACATTTATTATTTATTAGAATTACAAAACTACCAAATATACTCCTTGCATTTCAAGACTCGTGATTTATGGCACTATGTGGTTCGTGGTGCCTTCCTCACATCCAAATATATCCCTCTAGCATTCATTTGGTAAATAATTTTATATATGTGTGTTTCGAACATGTATTATATTTGTGTTAAATAATTTTATAAATATTAAATGTATCACTATTATATTTTTTAAATGAATCAAAATAAATTAAAGAATAAGAGAAAATTAATCACAGGTTTTTATAGTTTTAATCTAATTATAACTCAATATCTATACTTTAATTTATTATAACTCAATCTTTATAATTTAATTTTAACTTTATCATAACTCAGATTGTTAGTGTTTGCCCATCTAATTAAAAAAATATTAAATAGGACATGAGGAATATTATCATGTTGATGAATGTTCATCCTTACCACTATCCATAACATCTTCATCAAACATGGTTTGTCTTCATGTTGTCATTAGAGATTAACTTATATATTATCAACCAAATCTTTAGTTACTGTAAAATTGATGTTTGATATTTAAGAATTATATGTTTCTATTTTATTAAATTTATTTGAACTTCGATATATTGACTTATTTTTTACATACATTAAATTATTAATATTAATATAATTTAAATTTCTATAATTAATTAGGTATACAAGTTAAATAATATATTTTACTTGTTAAATAAAGTTGAACAAATTTAATAATATTAAATAAAACTTCATTAATATTTTAATTTTTAAAAATAATATCCTTTATGGTAACTTGTAGATCTAAAATTGATTCCGATCAAACCATTCAAACATTTTCAATTTGTCAAAATTAATTTCAAAAAAAAATATATCCAAACATGATTCTGTTATAACACAATCAATTATAATTAAAATAATCATATTAATTAATTTTTTTATAATTAATTATACTTAATTCAAATTCAAAATAGGCTTTAAATTAATTTTTTCCAAAATCACTTGCAATTACAATTTGCAAGAATTTTTATTTTTAAAATTTACATTTTTAAATAGAGCTAAATTTAGAAAGTCGTTTCATTCTTACACTATTTTAATGATTTAATTATCTTCGCTTGATTTTATTGAGGCAGTAAAATTAATAGAATTAAAGGCGAGAAGAGGTGATAAAGTATAAATTATACTTCTTCCGTTTTTCATCATAAGAGAAATTACTATATAGGCTAATTTTTCAGATATAAAATTACAAATTTTAAGAAACGTTTATTATGTTTTTCTGAATTGTTGACGCTTGTAAATGGATAATATAATTAAATTACAGAAGAAAGTAAACTCCTTACCCCAAAAAAAAAAAAGACAGAGAGAGAAGAAAGCAAACATTAATTACAAGGACATTTTAGTTTAAATATTTTATTTTCAAATATAATTATTAGGATTAACGAAATTTTCTTAAATTGTATATGGTCAGTTGATTAAAATTTGTTTATATTTGAAAAGAGTATGTGTTTGTGTGTGCGAAGATACATTTATTGAATGATGATAATTAAAAAATACTCCAGATTTTGTTTCTGTTGTTTTTTTTTAAGTGCCTACTCCTTTAAATAAAATAAAAAACTTATTTAAAGGATAGAATCTCCTATCACTCACATTAACTGTAGATGATTTCAATTATAATCACTTCACCTGTAATTTGACTAGCAAATTAGTCGCGTTTTAGCTGGTGCGTGGCAGATTCACGTTTCGATAATGTTTAACAATTAATTTCTCAACTAATTTTTTGATTTAATCAAATATAGCTGTAAATCACAGGAGTTGCAATCCCGAGGCGCACCATCGTGCGGCTCAAGAGCTCTGCAATGGCTGGCAAGGGAGGATCATTTTGTAATTTTCTTACTTTACCTCACTCCTCGACTCATCTAATGGATAATGGATTAAATGCCACACATAATTAGACTAATTAAATTAGTATAACATGCGAAAATTTTATAAGTGACGTCACTCAAATTCATCAATTCAATGTTAATTTAAAATATAAAACACAAAAAATGACAGTGACACCTTCGGACTAAAATTCATGACATTTTAATATCATAACATTTTAATTAAGGACCTTTTTCTTTTATTCAAATGGTCGGAGATGAGAGGGACGAGTGACTGAGATGAAAGATCTGAGAAGAGAGCGGCCAAGAGACGAGCGTGTGCTAGACTGCGGTATGAGAGATGAGCAAATGAGCGACGTTTTTTCCCATTTGCTGGAGCCTGGAGGAGCCACATGCTGTCATGTCTAGAGACGTCTATTAAAATTAGCTCTTGAAATGTTAGAGTCTAAATATGCTGGTTTTATAAAGTTTGATTATATTTTAAAACTTTATTTTGATCAATCCGGCTTTAGCCTTCAAGGCTCAATGCTATATATATTTTTATTTTTATTTAAAATGTAAAAAAATATATTCAAAATTTTAAAAAAGTTATTACACATAACATTAAATATAGAAAAATAAATTTAAATATAATAAAAAATAACATTACAAAATCAACACCGATAACAATCAGACTTTATTATCATCATTAGTGAGATCTTAATGATTTTCATTGTCATCAATAACAATATATTTTTATCATTATCTTTGTGAAGCCTCAATAGTGACAAAGATATTAAGCTTTTTATATATTCTTTCTTTATTTTCTTGAAATGAGGCTAGGGTATTAAAATTAGTGTAGTATTATTTTTTTAATATTAAAATTTAAAAAAAATTATAAAATGACTTAAAAGGGTCGACCTTTTTATTTTAAAGTTTAAAAAAACCAGCTCTTTTAAATTTAAATTATCATTTTACACTCTAAAGTAAGAGTATGGTTCTAAATTTTTTTGGAGCTTAAAAAGGTTGGCCCAATGGGCTAGACCCTAATTAACAATTCTAATCATGTCTTTCAAATCTTTTTTTTTTTAAGAATAAATGAACCACTATATGGGTGAGGAAAGGCAACCCCAAAGGTAACTTGCAACCCGTCTTGCTTGTTTACATCAAACATGAAGTGGCTCATTCATTCAACCCGGTTGTTGTTTTTTTTTTTCCCTTGATGAACAGGTTTTAACTTGCTTATTTTCACTGACTATAGATAGTCTCGGCGGGCCGTAAGTTGTTTACTCACCCTTATTTTGCCAAACATGTCCGGTTGACACTTTTTGGGCTAGACTAATTAAAAAGGCTTGTTTCCATAAATAAACATGTAAATAGACAAAACATTACCTCTTTCGTAAATAGGTCAGGCTAAGTTGTAGGCCAATTGAAAATGTTTAACTTTAGTTCCATCCCATCCCTGGATGCCATGTTGCCCTCCAGACTTAATAAGAAGTGCTAACATTTTAGGATAACATAACTTTTAGTTTTTAAACTTTTTTTAATTATTCATTTAATTCTTGAACTTTCATGTAGTGAAACTTAATCCTTATAATTTATTGAATTAAAAGATTACATAAATTGAATTGTACTGAATTAAAAAATTATGAGAATTCAGATGTTCTTTGAGTTAAGAAATTATATAGATTAAATTCCTATTATTCAAAATTCAGAGACGATTGATAATTGAGAAAAAAATTGATGATATGTTTTTCCTTAAAAAATTTAATTAAAGAAAGATTATT